CTAACATTTTTTTTTTTTTTTTGACTTGTGAATTAGAGCATTGGTGGATGCACTTTGGAGATAAAACAGCTGAATTAAAAGCATTTATAGTCAAACATTTAGGTCTAGCATGTTATGCTTATGCATATCAATGAAATTGGAGCACATTCAACAAACTGCATGCAAAGAGAAGAAAATATTTGGTTGCAACTAGGATGAGCAAATTTGCTTCTGTCAGGTATAATAAGAAATTAAAAGTTAAACACCTCAAGTTAATCCTCTAGTTAAATTGACGAAAAGATGATGATGATGATCCTTTAACACTTGAAAATTTGCCATCAGATAATGAATGAATGATTGACCAACATGAGGAAAAAAATGAAGAAAGTCTTACTGAATCAGATAATAATGAAGATTTTGATATTTATGCTGCTAATGTAACAGAAGTTGGTAGATGTTCAAAAAGATCCACCAAACGCAAACCAAATTAAATATCAAATATCACAAAAATTCCATAGAGTAAATTCATTATGAAATATATAATAAATTGTTATTTAATGCTTCCATATTATGAGTGTACTTATAATAATAATCTTGATACAAAAAAGAAGAAAGCAATAGTGTTGGATGAGGAAGAAGATGAATCGGATGACTCATATGAGAGTGATGGGGAGGACGATAGATTTTTGAGATATCACAACGATTCTTTAAAGGATGCTACTGGTGTTGACGACAATGAATATTTCAAGTTTTGAAATAAAAGGCGTAAGCCTTAAGACTTAAAAAGTTTTCATTTAGAATCTAGTTTTATCCTAGATAATTAATTTTCATATTTTTTAAATTCAGAATTTCTATTTGACATTTCAAACTTTGAGTGCTTTCTTATTGTGCCTATGAATTAAAATTATGTTTTTGATGAATTTTGTGTGTTTTTTACTTTTCATAATTTTATGACTTTTTTTAATTCAAAACATATGCCTCAATTCGATTCAAAGCCTACATTTTGAGTCAATTTTGGAAATCACCTCGATTCGTGATATAATCTTTATAAACATCTTTATAAACCATGAGCGCAGCCATACATTTATAGGCCACAATTGCTTATAACTCTAACAATGATGCTCCATCTACCGTCCAAAAGCCACAAGCATCCTACTAATGTAGAATCAATTTGAAATATTGCATTCATTATATACTTTATTTTAATTCATTGAATTTGTTTTCTAACTGGTTTTTCCCTCCTTCAAGACAGCAATGGCCGGTTTTAGCTCTTGGTTTATTCATTAATCTAGAACCACCAAATTAACTATGTTTTTTAATGAATACTCTACCTCTTTTACCAATGTGAATAAAAAAATGCAAATTATTCTTCTCTCATGTTTTTCAATGTCTATCTTTTATCCATATATATTCTATTTTTCAAACTTCTCCATCTTCCATATCATTTCATAGTTCTAGACCTTCCTAATCCTTTCTCTAAGGATTGTTTTGTTTAAACCATGATGATGGTTAAACATGAAACAGACTGGAAAGAAAGATCCTGTTTTGGTGCAAACTTCTATAATGAATCAACTTCCCATGAAAACTCCAATATCCAAGAAACATTCTCCAAGTCATTGATTATCCAACTCAAACCAAAATCTTATGCATCAAAAATCAGCATCAATATAATTCTTGAAAAAGATATGATCTTTCATGTCTTAAATGTCTAAAACAAAAAATTCACAATCATAGACTATTGACTCTAGACTTTTGATCATATGATAGAGGATGTCTCCTTATTCCAAAGTTCATCCATATTTAAACATACCATCAAAATTGTCGACGGAACAACATCACAAATAACTGACATCATAACCATCAATATCATCAGCTCTCCAGTCTTTAGCTTAGTTCCTAAGCTTTTCTACAACTTCATATCAATTAGCAAAATTACCAAGAATACGAAATGTACATTAATTTTATTCCTTCATTGTGAATTCCATAATAGGGATCAATAAAGATAATTGGCAGGGTGGAAGAAAATGCTGGTCTCAAGCCTCTAAGTTCTAAATTATAAAAAGGAATCCTAAAATACAAGAGAAAAAATATTAGTCCATATCTTCTTTGACAAAAGCATAATTATATTATAGCACTTTCGCCTTGGTCATCCAAATATTATTTAACTAAAAAAATTATTCCCCTCCCCTTTCCAAAATAATCCTGAAATATTTTAAGAGTGAAATTTATTAATTATCTAAAGACAATTGAACTTTCTGCAGAAATCATCCTTATAAAGCCTATCAATATGTTGCAACTCTCCATAGTGGACCCATCTTGACAAAACAATTTATCTCACGTACTAGGTAGTTTATATCTTTTATAAATGATCATATTAGAATCACTTTAATTTTTCCACTAGAAGACAAATCTGAAACAATAATTATTTTTTAAAAATTTTGCACATTTATAAAAACTCAATTAAAAATCCAAATTCAAATTCTCATTATCAATAATGAGAGAGAATACCTGAATGCTATTCATGAAAGTAATATCTTTATTCTATTCGGGGAGAAAATCTCCTCCAACAAGGAATCATCCATCAAACTGCTCAAATACATATTTTCCCATAAAATGGGATAGCAAAAAGAAAAAATAAATACCTTCTTGAAGTAGCTAGATCAACTATGGTCATTAGCAACATCCCAAAATATTTTTAGGGAGAGTTTGTCCTCTCTGCTACAATCTCATCAATTGCATACCACCAAAAATTCGAAAATTCAAAGCTCCATTAAACTCTTACTCATGCCTAGGGTTGCAACCGAGTCAAGCCGGCTCGCGAGCCTGCTCGGGCTCGACTCAATAATAGGCTCGACGGGTCGAGCTTGAACACGATTTCGAGCTCGACCGCTAAACGAGCTCGAGTTCAAACACTCTGTTGCAGCTCGCATAATTGTGCTGGGAAAATTGAAAAGACGGGTCTTCTGTCGACCGGAAAATGAAAACGGACTATGTAACTACGAATTGGAAAGACGAACACAAACAACTACTGCGGAGAACTAAAAGCAGCCTGTGTAATTGCGACATAAGAGCGCAAACAACTACGGCGGAAAAATTCAGTTTTGGCATAACTGTGTCGTCTTGTTTCGGAAGGCGGGACGGAGAGGAGCAACTGGAGCGTTTCGATCAGAGATTTGTCATCGAGGTAGACGCTGCTGCAAACGAATGCAGGTGGACAGAGGACGATGCAAACGCGGATGACTCAGACGGACAAAGCAGGTGTCGCCGACGCAAGCAAACGTGCCGGCCGACACAGTCCCCACTAACGCAAACGTTGACTAGCTGACGAATGAGGAAGGCGACGTAGATGCGAGGCTTGTTAACAGGAACTTTTATTACATCCAGTGAACGTACGCTCCTTTACGTTCGGTTTTAGAAGAAAACAGCGCAATACCGAGTTTTTTGAAAAAACTCGGTACAACTTGGTACTCGGTATTGCGCTTTCTTTGCCTAGAACCGAACGTAGAGGAGCGTACGTTCACTGGATAAAATAAAAGTTCTGTTAACAGGCTCGAACTATGGCTCGACGAGCTCATATTTTCTTGTCGAGTCAAGTTCAAGCTCAAGCTCGAGCTCTATTTTTGGCAGTCGAGCTCGGCTCGAACACCCCCTAACTCGAGCTCAACTCGACTCATTTGCACCCCTACTCATGCCTATCCCACAAATAAACTTATATTTATCACTTCTATCAAAGTGTTTGGCTATTCTACCTTTGTGCACATTGCTCCTCATTAAAGAAGCAAATTAGACCCAAAAGTCTTAATAGCATCTTCATTTGTTACTTTCCTCGCCAAAAAGGATACAAATGTCATTCTCTTAATACTAAGAAACAAAATACAACACCACCATGGGCGTAAGATTCTTCGAAAAATCAATCATGCTTCCCCAAAACTCAAATTCAAGTAGAGAACATCAACCCTAAGAATATGAGTTTTGTGAGAATATCAATCATACAAACACGCCAATGGATACATTAAACAAATTTGTGACTAATAAAAATCCTACCTCAATTGATAATAGAAGGTGCCAACGGTAGGTAGAAAAACTTATCTATCTCATACTAGACCTTATATTTGCTTTCCACTAATGTTGTTAGTTTATTTATGAATAAACCCACAAATGAGCACCATGATGCTTTATATATGATATTAAGAAGCCAGAAAAAAAAATAAAGATTTTTAGAAAAGGATTGTTCTTCAAAAAGGGAATTAACAAAGGTCCAGAAACTTTTACTTGTGGAAATTGGGTTGGAATTGTTAATGATTGTAAACCCACATCAACTGATTAATATGGGGAAATTTAGCTAAGTGTTGCCTATTTGTAGTTGTAATGCACTTGATGATTACAAGTTGGCACTAGGAGGTTTTTTTATCATGAGCTCTTCAAGATACCTTTCTATCAAGTTGTAATAGGCTGTTAAAAGAGAAACATATAATTAAGTTAAAGTGTTGCAGAGATGAGGATGCTCAGGTGGATGAGTTGTTTTACTCTTACAGATAAAATGTGAAACGAGCATATAAGTGAAAAGGTTGGAGTAGCTCCAATGGTAGATAAGATCAGAGAGAGTCGCCTTAGATGGTTTGGTCACATAAAACGTCGGCCTTCTAATGACATCGTTAGGAAGTAGATGTATTAGATTTAGCCTATGTTAAGAGAGATAGACGTACACCTAAAAAGACTTGATTAGAAAACATTAGAAATGACTTTTTTATTATATTTAAATGATAATTTGACTCTTATCAGGACACAACAAAGAAAAAAGGATTCATGTCGTCGACCCCATGTACAGGGATAAAAGCTTGATGTTGTTGTTGATGATGATGATGAACCATGTACCTTCACAGTTCATATGTCAAATTTTATAAAGTTCTTGCATGAAGATGCATATATCTTGTTGTATTTTTATGTTAAACACATTTTTAACTTTATATGATACTACCAATATGGAAAAAGCATTAAAGAGTATGATATTGTGAACATACCTTCAATTTTTCATGAGCTTCCTGAACAGTTTTCCCATCCTTTTTCTTCTTCCAGTTATACCCATCTTTCCGGAAATTTCTTAGCATTTTGCGATCAAATAGCACAATACTGCCATCTAAGTCACATGAAGGAAATAAATAAAAGTTGCTTCATCAAGGGGTTAATAAAAAAAACTCATAAAAAACTACAAAAAATTCTAGAAAAAGGAACAATTTACATATATAGCACTACATTTACAAATTCGATGAAAGAATCACGATACACTTTGCATGCCAACAAAAAAAAACAGACTATGATTGGCAATCCAAGGGCTACACTGCAAGTGGATCAAATGTTCCAAATGAATTGATTATGTAACACAAGTCAAAAAAATTATTCGTGTTTTGGTCATGCATTGCTTTTTATTGCTTCACAATTATTATTCAAGTAAGGCACAAGGGAAAACCCTATTCCATTCACCCCTGCATATCTTCATGAGGCCTTTGCAATGTAGCTTGTCCATCTTTGTAAGAGTAATGGGGACTTTGTTTCATAGAACACAGAATAGTACAACACCACCAAACAAAGACCTAGTTATTAGCTTATAAAACTTATGCAGTTAGTTTTTAAGTCAAAAAATATTTTGATGATGCACATGCATCAAATAAGTAACAGTGTTATCAATTTTTAAGATGGGTGTTCTTCGCTAGCTCCATTATACTACAGCAAAGATTGAAAATATAGGAAGTTGTTAGAAATAAGATGAATTTTGAAGGCAAGAAAAAAAAGAATTTGAAGTCTGTATCCTTAAAATAAAATAAAATGAATTAAAAAAAACTCTATAATAAATGTGACAATTAGTGAGAATTATTACACATGTTCGGCAGATCATTAACAAAAATCCGTTCTTGCAATTCTAATATGACGAGGACGGATTTAAAGGCATTTGAGGCGCACGAAGACGCTCAAAAATCACCTTGAGACTTACATCTTAATGGTCTGAGTGAGGCTAAGGCCTTTTTAGATTAAGGTATATACCTTGAGGCTTTATGCCTCAAGGCACTTTTGGTGGAGACCACAAATTATAATATAATAAGCATAAAAAAATCTTCTGTTATATTATATTATATTATGATATACCTAATAAAGTTTATAATAGGTTCCGGTTTAATTATTTTGGGACTAGGACTGAGAGTCAAGTGAGCAAGTGAGAAAAGGCTACAAGCAAGGTATGCAAGTAGGTTGCCTATGGCTATACGCGTAGAGTTTTGTGAGTGGCACTGCAAAAAACTACAAAAGAGGATGAACAAATCTACAAGCAGTTGAGCAACTACATGAATTCCGGAGAACGTAAGATTTTTTTCAAAAAAATTTAATTTTTCAAATATTTTAATTTTTTCCTTATATCAATTTTAGAATTTATCTTTAACAAGTTTTATTTTTATTTTAATTTTTTAGTTTCTTTTAAATATTTTTTGAATTTGTTAATTGATGATTAAGTTAATATGTTGATGGTTTATGATATATCTATGAATTATTTTTAATTTTATGAGCTTTTTTATTATTACTCAACTTCAAAAGCTTAAACCTTGCCTTAGAGTTTGCATCTACAAATAAAGCTACAATTATAATGGTCTCCACCAATGATCAAAAATTCAACTTGAATCATAAAGATAATATCTAGGTTTTCTTTCAAGAACATACCCATGATTTGCATCTAGCAACCAAAAATTAGATCGAAAATACTTGACGCTAATTTGTTTTGACAAATGGTTGTAAGGTACATGGTAGAAAATTAACTTTAAAAGCAGCTTTATGGAACCAAGTTCAAGCATGTATGTTTCACCAGCACATATTTACAATAAACATAATTATTCTGTTCATTTGGGCTGCTCTACACATTCAATTTCAATTGTGAAGAAGTGCATGAAGTGGTATAGCTACCTCTAACTCATTTTATCTATATGAACAAACTTCTACAATAAACATAAATCATATGTCCATGAAAATCAAAGATTCATAATATAAATTTATCAGTTAGTATGAATACATATACTACAAAAAAGAAATTCATAAAGTACATTATATATAATAAATCACGATTTTTTAAGGTCAAAAATCAACTTAATATCCTACCATCAAATCTATTTTAAAAATAAAAATTTACAATTAAATATAATGAAACTAGGAATAGGACATGCAACAATAGAGAGTGATAATATCATAGTTCCTTTTACCTGGTAATATTGTACGGAAAACACTTGGAAATGACTTCCACTCCATTTGAAAGGAAATCATACAACAACAACAACATCAAGCCTTTATCCCACTACGTGGGGTCGGCTACATGAATCCTTTTTCTCCATTGTGTCCTATTAAAAGTCAAATTCACATTTAAATCTAATAAAGAAAGATCATTTCTAATATTTTCTAACCAAGTCTTTTTAGGTCTACCCCTACCTTTCTTAACATAAGTCAAATCTAATACCTCTACTCTCCTAACTGGGTCATCGGAAGGTCGCCGTTTTATGTGACCAAACCATCTAAGGCGACTCTCTCTAATCTTATCTTCTACTGGAGCTACTCCAACCTTTTCACGTATATGCTCATTTCGTATCCGATCTCTAAGGGTAAAGCCACTCATCCACCTGAGCATCCTCATCTCTACCACACTTAACTTAGTATTATGCTTCTCTTTTAATGGCCAACATTCAGCACCATAAAGCATTGCAAGCCTCACTGCCATCTTATAGAATTTTCACTTAAGTTTGAGGGGTACATTTCTATCACATAACAAGCCCGATGCATTCCTCCACTTCAACCATCCAACTTGAATTCTACTGATAATATCCCCATCTATTTCACCATCACTCTGAACAATAGATCCAAGATATCTAAAATGTGTACTCTTATTAATGACTTGATCGCCCAAAGTCACAATCCCCTCACTAGGTCTATTACTACAAAAATTACACTCCATATATTCCGTTTTAGATCTACTCAAGCTAAAACCTTTAGACTCTAAGGTTGACCTCCATAATTCAAATTTACCTTCAACTCCCTCTCTAGTCTTATCAACAAAAAGAATATCATCAGCAAAAAGCATACACCAAGGTACATCCTCTTGCAACTGTCTAGTGAGAACATCCATGACTAAAGAAAAAAGATATGGGCTCAAGGCTGATCCTTGATGTAACCCAACCGAAATAGGGAAATACTTAGTCAATCCACCTTGTGTTTGAACACAAGTAATAACTCCTACATACATATCTTTAATGATTTGAATATAAGCATTATTGACTCCTTTTTTTCAAGAACTCTCCATAGCACTTCTCTTGGAACTTTATCCTATGCTTTTTCTAAATCAATAAATATCATATGTAGATCCTCCTTATTTTCTCTATATTTCTCCATCAAATCTCTTAATAAATGTATGGCTTCCATAGTCGACCTACCCGGCATGAATCCAAATTGAGTTTGAGAAACATTAGTATCACGCTGCAACCTATGCTTCATAACTCGCTCTCATAGTTTTAAAGTATGACACATTAACTTAAAACCTCTATAATTCGCACAATCTTGTTAATCACCTTTATTCTTAAAAAAGGAATTATATAAATAATGAAAGGAAATCATATCTTATATTTTTTAAAGTCAACTTTAATTTTATAAATTCTTTTACAAGCTCTTAGATTCAGAAAAAAAAGGCCAAAATCCACTTCCAAACTTATTTTCAACAATTTTTTAGTTATTTCTATATGAGTACTAAAGTTACACTGAGAAGTACAAATCAACACATGAATGGGATCAAATAGACTCATTGATCATAACAATATCTGTCCTAAATATATAGTTATACAAATTGATACCCACAAACATTAAAGCATATGAAAATTTCCTGAACTTATTGAAGATAAAAATTATATCTTAGAATGACTTTCGAAAACCACAAATTGCTACACAATGCTAAGATATTTTCAAATACTTCAATCCATACAAAAATGTAGTAGTTTGGTTTATCAAAAGGTCTTTATCTTAGTGTTAAAATACAAGTAACAATGAAGTGAAAACTACTCAGATGCATGAGCTTGATAAGGGTACAAAAAGAACAACTTTTAGATGAAAAATGCACATTCCAGTCACAAATCTACATTCCCCATATGAATGGAAAAACTGTTTCAAAACTAAAAAAATAATGAATCAAAAACCTGAAAGAACTTAAGTGATTAATAGGTTAGAGTGAATGGAGAAGGGATCAAACAACATACTGGTTGGATTTTCAACTGGTTGTGGTAAGACCGTAAAATGAGTAGAATTAGTCAATATTGCATGAACCTCATTGGGCCTAAACCACCTTGTTGATGCATCTTCCCTCAACTTTGTTATATCCAAATCTGCTTACAGCAAGCATGTTAGTGCAAACAAAGTTGACCATAAATATATAACCGCGCATCTAGCTCACCCACCTAGCCCATCTATATGTCACAGTAAATCCATAAATTGGGCATTATATAATAAACTTTGACTGAAAATAGCAATTTCCAAAACATCTGCACAGGTATGAAACATGAGCAGTAAAAGCTTTCTCATGTGATATCATAGAGAGCAAATTTATGGGAAACGACAAAAAATAGGCAAATGTGAGCCAAACTAGTACAGATAAAAGAAAGAAAAAAAATTAGGGTTGTATAAATAAAATGAGTGCAAAAAATAAACAAAACGATCTAGTCCATCTTGTTAATTCATACTACTTAATACAAAATATACTTTAATACCTAATGTATAGAGACTAAAGTCAAGAAACAATCAGATGCCTCTGTTGCAATGAAGATGAACGAGTGTGCTACAACGGAGATGAATGAGTGTGTTATGACAGACGAATGAGTGTGTTACAACAAAGACGAGTAAGTGTGATGCGACAGTGACAAGGGCTTCACATGCATCTCTACTGATAGAGAAGATCATTTGTTACACAATGAAGACAATTGTGCTACGATGAAGAGGAGTGTGCTATGATGTAGATGAGTGGGCATGTGCCTTTGTTGACGAGCACAAGTGATGCAATCAAAAATTTGGGAAGGGACCCAAATTTTTTATCACGAAAGAAAACTTTTCTAAGTAATAGAAAAGACACAAAAGGGCACAAAACAGACGAATAAACTATAAAAAAACAACTTTTCTTCATAATATAAAAGGCTTACAAACTTAGACACTTACAAATGACTCAAACAAGACAAACACCTAAAGTTGCATTTCTTGAGAAGAATGATACATGTGGCGTCGAACTTACGAAGAGACGAAAGAGGTTAGAAGCCAAGACGAAGTGGAGACAAGCTCGCAAGCTTTCTCAAAGAGAGAAGGAAAGAGGGAATTTGGACAAAGCTCACAAGCTTTTCTAAACAACAAACCTTCAGGTTTACATTTCCAAAAATCAAATCATCACTTACTTAAACATCCACAAAACATCTTATATTTATAGACAAGAGAGGGGAATACAAACAGCTCCAAAACATTAATTTAAGCTTATTTAAATAGGGAATATGAAAAGCCAACAGTCAACTCCATGAAACAAAGCACCAAAGCCATGGAAAAGGCCCCCAAAAGTCACGGAAAAGCAGCCCAGACGGAACCCGAAGAGGCAACCGCAAGAACCAAGGAGGCAGCCGTGGGAACCAAGGAGCCAAGGCACGGGAACCCAAGAGCCATCCACGAATAGACAAGGGGAAGGAGAAGAGACAAAAATTAATGAGCTAATAATAAATTAATAAGTGAACTAAAAACATAGCTCATAATGAGCTAACTCTTAGTTCAATAAATGAACTAAAAACCAACTCATAAATGAGCTAAATTCCAGCTCAAAAATTAATGACCTAGCAAGCTCAAGGGAAATCAAAAATAAATTTTTTTGGGTTTGATTTGACCCCCCCTTTGCCTACATCAGACTCCCCTTCTTAAGAACTCATCTCCCGATGAGTTAGCTTTGATCTGAAGGCGTTGCATCAAGAGACACCAAGGCTTGAGATTGCTCACTTGACACCAAGACTCGAATGACAACATGACTCGAAACAAAACTTACAAGATAACTAACATGACATCAAGACACACACGACTCATAAACCTAGGACTTCCTAACTTGCTCTAATACCAAATTGATGCAATCAAAAATTTGGGAAGGAACCCAAATTTTTTATCACGAAAGAAAACTTTTCTAAGTAATAAAAAAGACACAAAAGGACACAAAATAGACGAATAAACTAAAAAAACAACTTTTCTTCATAATATAAAAGACTTACAAACTTAGACACTTACAAATGACTCAAACAAGACAAACACCTAAAATTGCATTTCTTGAGAAAAAGGATACAGGTGGCGTCGAACTTGCGGAGAGACAAAAGAGGTTAGAAGCCAAGACGAAGTGGAGATAAGCTCGCAAGCTTTCTCAAAGAGAGAAGGAAAGAGTGAATTTGGACAAAGCTCGCAAGCTTTTCCAAACAACAAACCCGCAGGTTTACATTTCCAAAAATCAAATCATCACTTACTTAAACATCCACAAAACATCTTATATTTATAGACAAGAGAGGGGAATACAAACAGCCCCAAAACATTAATTTAAGCTTATTTAAATAGGGAATATGAAAAGCCAACAGTCAACTCCAGGAAACAAAGCACCAAAGCCACGGAAAAGGCCCCCCAAAAGTCACGAAAAAGCAGCCCAGGCGGAACCCGAAGAGGCAACCACAAGAACCAAGGAGGCAGCCGTGGGAACCAAGGAGCCAAGGCACGGGAACCCAAGAGCAATCCACGAATAGACAAGAGGAATGAGAAGAGACAAAAATTAATGAGCTACTAATAAATTAATAAGTGAACTAAAAACATAGCTCATAATGAGCTAACTCTTAGTTCAATAAATGAACTAAAAACCATCTCATAATGAGCTGAATTCCAGCTCAAAAATTAATGAGCTAGCAAGCTCAAGGGAAGTCAAAACCAAATTTTTTTGGCTTTGATTTGACCCCCCCCCCCCCCCCCCCCCCCCCCCCCCCTCTCCCCTTTGCCTACATCAACAAGCAATGGGAGAGCCTTTGCTAACGATGGTAAGCATTGCTAATAAGGTCAATAATGTAGGCAAAGACCATTCATGCAAACACGCAAGTTCTTCTCACGTGCGCTTCTTGCACACATTAACACTCGACAACGTGGACGCACGCTCGGCAACCCGCACTTGAGACAAAAGTGAAACATAACCTGAAAGCATAGCATCACTTGGCTTTTGAAGTGCGCTTTTAAAAACACTGGGCAAGCTATTATAGCACCTACAAGCTTGCAGGAGCATAATTACATGTTAAAGGCTTCTATTCTTTAGCATAGACTCCTAGTCTCCTACTCAACACATTAAGATATTTTATATGAAAGTCCATAATCAGATCTACTTTTCAAGAATATTGTGTAGTCCCATGAGAACAACTTAATGCTACATAATTTTCAATGTTAGAGAGATACATGATGGGGGCATAATGATTGCTAAATTATTAAACTAACTTTAAGACCATTAAAAAGGGTATGCTCAATAAGTTAAGGGGCTTAACAAAGATTTAAATCATTGGAATCCCTTTAAAAAAGTTTTAGTTATAACCTTCATAATTCAATCTCCACTTGGCTTGTAAGCCAACGGGAAAGAGCCAAACAAACCAATATTGAGGCTTACTAATCAAGCGCATTCAACTGTCGCTAAATTGCAATGGTTTTAGAAAAGCATGGAAGATAGGCTGGCTATGGCTTCTAAGAGAGGGAGGGTATGTTTGAATAACTAGTAGGACAGGGACAGCACAAAGTGATAAAGATTGAATCACATAACCTAGACTGGCATCGACTTATCGAGAAGACACGTTGCTTCACAAAATCTTTCTTGCAAAAAGTCTTGGCCATCAAATAAATAATCTACAAATGACCTAAAGAAGTTTCCCCTCTCAACAAAGCATATAATTAGGTTGGACAATGAGGTGATGGTTGCATATAGCCCCAGAATCAACCAATTCCTCGAGGTAAAGAACTTTCCACTAAATAGTTATAGTCCTAGTGATCATCGAGTAAGCTAGGAGACTTGTTTTAGATCATCTCAATTCTCAGGTTATTCGGAATCTTCTAATGGTGATCAATCTCGCCAACAACCTAAATATATCTAGCCACTAGAAAATTCAAGTAAGATCTCAAACAATGTTTGTTCAAGCTTACATGGGAACTATCAATGGAGATGTAGAAACTCCATCCACAAAAAGATAAAGACCTAGTACAAGAGGTTCAAGATGATCTTGATAAGGTGAGAAGTTCACCATAATAGTGATTTACTAGTAGGCAACATAGGTATGTAAACATGTTATTTTAACTTCTTAATAAAGTGATATGGTTATGTAAATGTAAGATTGTCCATGTCTCAAACATTTTGTCGTTATGCCATCAAAATTTTCTAGTAAAAAAAGATGGAGAAGCTGCTTGGGCAACCCTATCATCATGGTCATCCATTGCTCAAGTGACGCATGACAACATTGAAGGTATTTTAGAGTTTGGATAAAAGGAAGAAGAGGAGGGGTGGTCAAGTATTATAGAAAATTAGGATTAAGGTTTATGTGAAGGGACAAAGGATAGGTTGGGATTTGATGGGAGATAGAGGGAAGAGGCTGATCCTTTAGCTCAAATTTAGGGTTGCATGATACAAGAGGAGAGGGGGAAGATGAGGGTTTATAAATGAATTGAAGAACATTGAATCCTTCACCAAAGGGACTTACACCACCATGAGATAGCAAATAACAAAATTAAATTCCAAAACAATGATCCAAGAATTCCAAAGTCTGCATATAAATAACATGAAATTCAAATCGATCCATTGAAATAAGGACCTAATCCAAAATTCGTAAGAAATAATGATGCAATTTAAAGCAAATCATAAAGCCAAAGGAGGCAAACATAGCAAGCATGGAAACTAGAGCCATTCCTTTAATTGTAGAGTCAGTGAAATAGCCTTACAAAGATGGGAGTGACCAATTCATATATAGATAAGGAGGGTAGGGTCGAACAAGCTCAAATTCAATCCACCTTACTTCAAAAATAAAATAATTAATTACATAAGTAAGATGGAAAAAACCCTAATAAGGGTTTGGGGAAGATTTTGCAACATGGTAGTCCATTCATCTGTATCCCCTTTAATTTCATCATTCAAAAGGTTCTTGGATGTTTCATAATTGGTTTACATCTAAGCTCTAATTTGCATCGAGGGATTCTATGCAAAAATAAAACCTTAAAACTTCGCATAAAATCATAAGCCAAAGTATCCTACTAAGTCCAAAAACCTTCCACACCCAAACCTGTATCAATTTTGCAACCATAAGAATAGATAGAA